TAGTCTACATCAGGTAGGGTCTATCTTGTAGTCTACATCAGGTAGGGTCTTTCTTGTAGTCTACATCAGGTAGGGTCTGTCTTGTAGTCTACATCAGGTAGGGTCTATCTTGTAGTCTACATCAGGTAGGGTCTATCTTGTAGTCTACATCAGGTAGGGTCTGTCTTGTAGTCTACATCAGGTAGGGTCTGTCTTGTAGTCTTCATTAGGTAAGATCTCTAGTTTACATCAAGTAGGATCTCTGCCCACATCTGGTATAGTCTCTTGCAATCTACATTAGGTAGGGTCTCTTGTAATTTACATCAGGTAGGGCTTTCACTTGTAGTCTACATTCAGGTAAGCGGTATCTTGTAGTCTACATTCAGATAGGATCTCCTCTTGTCTACATCATGTAGGATGTATCGTAGTCTACCACAGGTAGGATGTAGTTCAGGTTGGCCTCCTTGGTTGACCAGACGACCAACCGGAAGGCCTGGTGGGAGGGCAGGCCTCGGGGTCGGTGATCCACGGAACCTCCATAAGGTATCCACAAGGGAGTGCACATCGGGTAGGACCTCTCTTGCCTACATCAGGTTGGATCTCGTATGGTCTACATCAGGTAGTATATCTTTGGTAGTCTACGTGAGATAGGAGCTCTATTGTAGTCTACATCTGGAATGGTCTCTCTTGTAGTCTACATTAGGAATGGTCTCTTGTAGTCTACATTAGGAGTGGTCTCTTGTAGACTACTTCAGGAATGGTCTCTCTTGTAGACTACTTAAGGAATGGCCTCTTGTATTCTACATTAGGAATGGTCTCTTGTAGTCTACATTAGGAATGGTCTCTCTTGTGGACTACTTCAGGAATGGTCTCTTGTATTCTACATTAGGAATGATCTCTTGTATTCTACGTTAGGAATGGTCTCTTGTAGTCTACATTAGGAATGGTCTCTTGTATTCTACATTAGGAATGGTCTCTTGTAGTATATATATATATATATATATATATATATATATATATATATATATATATATATATATATATATATATATATGTCGTACCTAATAGCCAGAACGCACTTCTCAGCCTACTATTCAAGGCCCAATTTGCCTAATAAGCCAAGTTTTCATGAATTAATGTTTTTTCGTCTACCTAACCTACCTAACCTAGCTTTTTTTGGCTACCTAACCTAACCTTACCTATAAATATAGGTTAGATTAGGTTAGGTAGGGTTGGTTAGGTTCGGTCATATATCTACGTTAATTTTAACTCCAATAAAAAAAAATTGACCTCATACATAGAGAAAAGGGTTGCTTTATCATTTCATAAGAAAAAAATTATAGTAAATATATTAATTCAGGAAAACTTGGCTTATTAGGCAAATCGGGCCTTGCATAACAGGCCAAGTACGACGTTCTGTCTATTAGGTACAACATATATATATATATATATATATATATATATATATATATATATATATATATATATATATATATATATATATATATATATATATATATATATATGTATATATGTATATATGTATATATGTATATATATATGTTTCATTGAATATGACCGCATATTCTGTATTTATTATTTTCTGGTTTAGGGCTTCTATCCCTCTAACTATTTTCTTAGCATCAGGGCTTAATTGAAATAGGAGTTCTCCAAAACTCATTTTCGCACTTTTAAGGTGAAGAAAAGAAGTGATTTACTATAGAGTGTATTACACTTATTTGTATAATTTGCACGACGTTTCGAACCTCCATGGTTCATTCTCAAGTGAACAGATCTTACAATACTAGTTGATTTTATACCCGCATTAGGTCAGGTGATAATACAATGAAGGTGAAAACACGGGGGGATACATAAGGGATAAACATAGGGGCTGCAGAAGGCTTATTGGCCCATACGAGGCATCTCCTATCTAAACACAAAGATTAATCCAGTGTAATTGGCCTGTTATGTTGGACATTGTCTTCTGTGTTGGCATCGATATGTTCTTGTCTTGTCCTTACTCTCATGGTGGGTAGAGTAAATAGTTCCGTGATTTGGGTGTTCATGGTAGGTCGCTCTATTCTTATGTGAATTGCCTCAAGAATTTGTAATCTTCTTGAATCTTGGGTTTTGTCTATTATGCAAGTATTCTTGTTCAACATTTCTCTTGTTACTCTAACAAGAGTAACAAGAGTATACATATATACATATATACATATATATATATATATATATATATGTCGTACCTAGTAGCCAGAACTCACTTCTCAGCCTACTATGCAAGGCCCGATTTGCCTAATAAGCCAAGTTTTCATGAATTAATGTTTTTTCGTCTACCTAACCTACCTAACCTAACCTAACCTAGCTTTTTTTGGCTACCTAACCTAACCTTACCTATATATATAGGTTAGGTTGGGTTGGTTAGGTTCGGTCATATATCTACGTTAATTTTAACTCCAATAAAAAAAATTGACCTCATACATAGTGAAACGGGTAGCTTTATCATTTCATAAGAAAAAAATTATAGTAAATATATTAATTCAGGAAAACTTGGCTTATTAGGCAAATCGGGCCTTGAATAGTAGGCTGAGAAGTGAGTTCTGGCTACTAGGTACGACATATATATATATATATATATATATATATATATATATATATATATATATATATATATATATATATATATATATATATGTCGTACCTAGTAGCCAGAACGCACTTCTCAGCTTACTATGCAAGGCCCGATTTGCCTAATAAGCCAAGTTTTCATGAATTAATTGTTTTTCGACTACCTAACCTACCTAACCTAACCTAACCTAACTTTTTCGGCCACCTAACCTAACCTAACCTATAAAGATAGGTTAGGTTAGGTTAGGTAGGGTTGGTTAGGTTCGGTCATATATCTACGTTAATTTTAACACCAATAAAATTTTTTTACCTCATACATAATGAAATGGGTAGCTTTATCATTTCATAAGAAAAAAAAATGAGAAAATGTATTAATTCAGGAAAACTTGGCTTATTAGGCAAATCGGGCGTTGCATAGTAGGCTGAGAAGTGCGTTCTGGCTACTAGGTACGATATATATATATATATATATATATATATATATATATATATATATATATATATATATATATATATATATATATATATATATATATATATATATATGTGTGTGTGTGTGTGTGTGTGTGTGTGTGTGTGTGTGTGTGTGTACAATCATTTACACAAATACATATACACATCGATAATCTTTTGTATCACAAGTGATTCAACAAGAGGCTCACAACAGTCTCTATAGTAGTAGTAGGCATCCGTCAATCCCTTGGGGTTATGGAGTTAGTTGTGCCCTGGGTATCTCCAGGGCACAGGCCTGGGCAGTAATTATGGAGGATCAGCTGTTGCCCATGCAGCAGATCCACCCTCTCCACGCCACCGATGTGATCCAAGGGAAGGGCAAGCGCCGATACGCTTGGCACCAGTGTCGTTGCAGGAGTTGCCAGAATGTAGCTGCAAACTGCCTTAGGGACTCCGACTCCGGATTTTTCCTCAGGGCTGACTCCCGAAGTCTTTCCCATGAGTGGGTTTAGCCACAAGACAGCAGAGGTTTGAATTGGGGTTTTCCTTTCCCCAGATGGGCTGCCTTTCCAGGCTAACGAGTCCCATCTGCCCGAAGCAACTGGTTTTAAGGCGCCAGAGACCCGCCTTCGCCCCTTCTCCTGTTGGTAGAAGCAGTTCCGCCAGGCCTAGAGGCTAAGCCATACGTGCAGGCCAGGAGCTGGACTTGGTTGTCAGAAGCTATTTGAGACGCACGCCATCAGGGGCACTTTACAGGCTATGGGAGCTTATCTCTACAACCCTTCTCCCCGGCTATAACAGCCCTTGGAACCAACAGTCTCTATACAAGGCACTTTACATCAGTGGTGTGTCACATAGTTAACAGTCTTGTACCATACCCACCCAGCTGGGCGGCGGCAGCCTTACAGTCATGTGCATGCATTACCGCATTGAGATTTCACCTTCAAAGGGATATAACTGCTTTTGAAAAGGATCAGAACAGAGCGAGAATAATAATCTCAGAACTAAGTCAACCCTCATACCTGGAAAGGTTTAGGACCTCAAGACTTGCAATACTACATACTAGACACGACATGGTTGATCTAACTGAGACCACTTCAAGGACCAGCGAAACTCTCACAAGGGGCAACAACTTCAAGCTTAAGAAGCCACAATGTAGGACAGACAACAGGGGATGCTTTTGCGCTCTTATAAACTCACAGAATACTCGACCCGCCGAAGCCGTAAATGACAGTACTTCAGTTTAAAATCCAACTGGAAGAAACTCAGGAATAATACGGGACCTCTTGACTTTCTGTCGTCTGCCTGTCCCCGCTGAGGTAAATTCAATTAATTACATTCACATTTTCACTGTCTACAGAACAGGTCGGTGTGTGAGGTTACAGTGAGCCTGTTGGAATGTTCAGACTCTTGGGTGCGAGGCTTCTCTCTCACTGCCATAAAATAGATATAGTAGAGAAAATGTTCTTTTCTAAATCAAAAATGTTCTTTTTTGGAGTTTAAGAGAAACGGATGAATACATGAGGAAGTCTGAAGTTCTAAAACCCGTTATATAAATATTAATGTATAAAGTTCTGAGTGCCAGCCGTTGATGCCACATTTGCAGACATTTGTGCCTGGGTGATGGTGGTGATAAACAGGAAGGAAGTGAAGCTGGTGGCTGACGTATTGAGATTACTTACATTTTCCTTCATCTTCATTAAAACATCGTAGCAAGTTTAACAATAAACTTTCTCTGTATGCTTTATCACTCTTGAGACTTACTCTTAACAAGTTTGGTGTGGAAAATCAGTGAAGAAGGAATTTTACTCATAGTTATCCTTTTAGTGTGTCAAATATATATATAGTTTAATCAATATGAATTAGTGTACAATAATACATTTCTTAAAAAAAATTGAACTGACTTAAATTGTGAATCATGAGTGGTATTGTTACTGCAGGTATAAGCAGTAGGAAGCTTATGGTTGCTGCCCTCCATCACAGCCAACAGGAAGATTACAGTTGCTGCCATCTACCATAACCACCACCAACAGTAAGATTATATCTGCTGCCTTCTACTTGCAGCTTAAAGATTATGGTTGCTGCCCTCCACAACAGCCACCACCAACAGTAAGATTATAGTTGTTGCCTTTCCCGACAAACAGAAAGATTACGGTTCCAGCTTTCCACCACAGCCATCACCAACAATAAGGTTATAGTGTCTGCATTCCACCACCAACAGAAAGATTATGGTTGCTTTCCTCCACTACAGCCACCACCAACAGTAATATTATGGTTACTACCCTCCACCACAGCCACCACCAACCATGGGGTGTCCGACATTCGCCATTATGAGTAAGTGTAGTTCTACCGTGATTATAATGTCTTATACCTTGAATATTTGAAACTAGATATTATAGTGACTCGATGAAATGTTCTTAGCCGCGACTTTTTTTTTTTTTTTTTTTAGTGATAGTCCTGTTTAGTAATGTGGCAGGGTCATCGCTACAAAGCTGTTCCACGTTCTCATCCATAAATGATGACGTTAAAAGCTACAAGTATGTATTCATATCTTTATATGTTCTGAGTTATTTGTCGGAATTATGAAATATACAGATATTTATATTTCTGAAAATAAAATGTTCACTTACCTTAATTTTTTTAATATTGATATGGCTTGCCACATTATAAATTGTGTTGAACAACTTTCAACAGCTGCTCTGAGTCGTGTCTGGCTTCGGCGAAGGTTCCTGCAGAGAAGAACAAGGAGCTGCCTGTATTTGGAACTGTATATTATCATAAGGTCAGTATTGGGTCAGGTGTACTGAGGTATTGTGAGTGTTGTCTGAGGTCAGGATTCATCCTTGAGTACAGGCAGAGTAAACAAAGACTTCAAGCTGCGAAGATGATTGGCACCATGTCATCCGAACTGGGAACACAACACATCCTGTCTGTCCTTTTGTTGTCCTGTTGAGTAGTCTTGTTCTCCCTGATTATTGTGTTCTCTGATATTGTCTTGTTCTCACTGATTATTGTGTTCTCTGATATTGTCTTGTTCTCTGATGTTTTGTTCTCGTTGATTATTGTGTTCTCTGATGTCTTATTCTCGCTGATTATTGTGTTTTCTGATGTTGTTCTCGGTGATTATTGTGTCTGATGTCTTGTTCTCCCTGATTATTGTGTTCTCTGATGTCATGTTCTCGCTGATTGTGTTCTCTGATGTTGCCTTGTTCTCGCTGATTATTGTGTTCTCTGATGTTGTCTTGTTCTCTGATGTTGTTCTCGCTGATTATTGTGTTCTCTGATGTTGTCTTGTACTTACTGATTACTCTCCTCAGATGTTTTTTACTGATTACTCTTTTTTTCAGATATTCTTATTGATTACTGTGTTTTCAGAAGTTCTTACTGATTATTCTCTTCTCAGATGTTCTTACTGATTACTCTTCTCATCTCAGATGTTCATACTGATTAGTCTCTTCTCAAATGTTCTTACTGATTATTCTCTTCTCATCTCAGATGTTCTTACTGATTACTCTCTTCTCAAATGTTCTTACTGATTATTCTCTTCTCATCTCAGATGTTCTTACTGATTACTCTCTTCTCAAATGTTCTTACTGATTATTCTCTTCTCATCTCAGATGTTCTTACTGATTACTGTTATTGTCTCAGATATCTTGCTCTTACTGATTACTGAAACAGAAGACCTACCAGGAAGTTGGAAGACAGATAATGTAGTGCCAATATACCCAAAAGGGTTCAGAACCTCCTACACTGGCAGGAGGACCTAAACTACGGACCAATTTCCTTAACTTGTTTACCATGCGAAGCAAGAGAAGATCTTGAGAAAAGGAATAAGACAGAGGAGGACAGCAAGAGACTAAAAGATGACCTTTACAGACTGAAGGAATGGACCAACAAATGACTACTAAAATTTAACTCGAGCAAGTGTAAAGTGATTCAGATAGGTGTAGGGAGCAGGAGACCAAACACACACATGGTACCAGTTGGAAGATGAAATCCTTCAGGAATCTGGGAGAGAGAAAGATCTGGGGGCTGATATCATGCCAGACCTGTCCCCTGAGCTGGCAAACATAAGAATTTCCTTTAGAAACTTGTGTAAGGAATCATTCAGAGCTTTGTATACCTCATATGTCAGACCAATACTGGAATATGCGCCTCAGCGTGGAGTCCACATCTAGTCAAACACAAAACGAAGTTAGAAAATGTTCAGAGGTATGCCATCAGGCTGGCCCCCTAGGCGAATGGTATGTGCTATGAGGAAAGATTACGACACCGGAAAACAGAAGAGTTAGGGGGGAGACATGATGACCACCTATAAAATTATTAGAGGAATCGACAGGGTAGATAAATATAAACTATTTAGAAAGTGTGATACCAGAACAAGGGGGCACAGGTGGAAACTTAGTAACCAAATGAGCCACAGGGACGTTAGGAAGAACTTTTTCGGTGGTAGGCTAAATACTTTTGATCTCCACCATCTGGATTCTACTCCTGACGATTTTTCCCTCCATAAACACCTTGTTGATTCGGTAGATGCCTCTGTTGCTTTTAACTCCACCAGTTACGGTACTCGTGTCGTCGCTGTTCCTTCTCAGGATGTAGCTACTCGCTTAGCCGCTTTGTCCTGCATTGGGGAGACCCCTGTTCGGGTCTCCAAAAACGCTTCGTTAAATGCCAGTGTTGGCACTGTTCTCCTCCCACACCATGTTGCAACTGGTGTTAGGGACCTCAAAGACTGCCATGAGGATATTAAACATAACCTCGAAACCTAAGGCCATTCTGTCCTCCAGATGGACACGTTTACTCGATCCTCTCGTGGTCGTCTTGTCAGCTCCTTCGAGTTGTAAAAATCACCTTTGATAGTAAGGGGCCCTTCCGGTCTCTATTATTCTTGCTGGCGCCAGATGCTCCGTTCAGGAGTACATTACCTCTCATAGGCTTTGCAATAAGTGTTGGAAGTTCGGGCACGGTGTCCTCAAATGCACAAGTACTGTGTATCTATGCCCCATGTGTGGGGACGATGATCATGCTAAGTCCGAGTGCACTTCTCTCCAGGCTAGCTGCTTCAATTGCGGTGAGGCCCACCCTACCTTCTCACGCTACACAGTACCGCATAAGAGGCTGGTACATAAGCTGGAGAGACAGGCAGGTGTAGCTGGTAAGGTGCTCCAGTGGATAAGGGAGTATCTAAGCAATAGGAAGCAGAGAGTTACGGTGAGGGGTGAGACCTCCGATTGGCGTGAAATCACCAGTGGAGTCCCACAGGGCTCTGTACTCGGTCCTATCTTGTTTCTGATATATGTAAATGATCTCCCGGAGGGTATCGATTCATTTCTCTCAATGTTTGCGGACGATGCTAAAATTATGAGAAGGATTAAAACAGAAGAGGACTGTTTGAGGCTTCAAGAAGACCTAGACAAGCTGAAGGAATGGTCGAACAAATGGTTGTTAGAGTTTAACCCAACCAAATGTAATGTAATGAAGATAGGTGTAGGGAGCAGAAGGCCAGATACAAGGTATCATCTGGGAGAGGAAATTCTTCAGGAGTCAGAGAAGGAAAAAGACTTGGGGGTTGATATCACGCCAGACCTGTCTCCTGCAGCACATATCAAGCGGATAACATCAGCGGCATATGCCAGGCTGGCCAACATACGAACGGCATTCAGAAACTTGTGTAAAGAATCATTCAGAACTTTGTATACCACATATGTCAGGCCAATCCTGGAGTATGCAGCCCCAGCATGGAGTCCATATCTAGTCAAGGATAAGATTAAACTGGAAAAGGTTCAAAGGTTTGCCACCAGACTAGTACCCGAGCTGAGAGGTATGAGCTACGAGGAGAGACTACGGGAATTAAACCTCACTTCGCTGGAAGACAGAAGAGTTAGGGGGGACATGATCACCACATTCAAGATTCTGAAGGGGATTGATAGGGTAGATAAAGACAGTCTATTTAACACAAGGGGACACAGGTGGAAACTGAGTGCCCAAATGAGCCACAGAGATATTAGAAAGAACTTTTTTAGTGTCAGAGTGGTTGACAAATGGAATGCATTAGGGGGTGATGTGGTGGAGGCTGATTCCATACACAGTTTCAAGTGTAGATATGACAGAGCCCGATAGGCTCAGGAATCTGTACACCTGTTGATTGACGGTTGAGAGGCGGGACCAAAGAGCCAGAGCTCAACCCCCGCAAACACAACTAGGTGAGTACACACACACACACACACACACGTGTACGTGTACGTGTACACGTACACGTACGTGGGCCGACTGCATTTTCCTGGATTGCCAAAAAGCCTTTGACACAGTACCCCATAAAAGGCTGTTAAAAAAGTTGGAGCAACAGGCAGGAGTAAAAGGGAAGGTGCTCCAGTGGATAAGGGAGTACTTAAGCAACAGGAAACAGCGAGTAACGGTGAGGGGGAAGACATCAGAGTGGCGAGATGTCACCAGCGGAGTCCCACAGGGCTCAGTACTTGGACCCATCCTGTTTCTAATATATGTGAACGATCTTCCAGAGGGTATAGACTCATTCCTCTCGATGTTTGCTGATGATGCAAAAATTATGAGAAGAATCAAGACGGATGAAGATAGACAGAGACTACAGGATGACCTGGATAAACTGGAGGAATGGTCTAGAAAATGGCTGCTGAAGTTCAACTCTGGAAAGTGTAAGGTGATGAAATTAGGCGAAGGGAGCAGGAGGCTGAACACAAGGTATCATCTGGGAGGGGAAATCCTGCAAGAATCAAATAGAGAGAAGGATCTGGGGGTTGATATCACACCGAACCTGTCCCCAGAGGCCCACATCAAAAGAATATCATCAGCGGCATATGCTAGACTGGCCAACATAAGAACTGCCTTCAGAAACTTGTGTAAGGAATCTTTCAGAACCCTGTATACCACTTATGTAAGACCAATCCTGGAGTATGCAGCTCCAGCCTGGAGTCCATACCTAGTTAAACACAAGACAAAGTTAGAAAAGATTCAGCGGTATGCCACCAGGCTCGTCCCGGAACTGAGAGGATTGAGCTACGAGGAATGGCTAAAGGAGCTGAACCTCACATCCCTGGAAAACAGAAGAGTAAGGGGAGACATGATAACCATCTACAAAATTCTCAGGGGAATTGACAGGGTGGACAAAGACAAACTCTTCAGCACGGGTGGGACACGAACAAGGGGACACAGGTGGAAACTTAGTACCCAGATGAGCCACAGAGACGTTAGAAAGAATTTTTTCAGTGTCAGAGTAGTTAATAAATGGAATGCACTAGGAAGTGATGTGGTGGAGGCTGACTCCATACACAGTTTCAAATGTAGATATGATAGAGCCCAGTAGGCTCAGGAATCTGTACACCAGTTGATTGACAGTTGAGAGGCGGGACCAAAGAGCCAAAGCTCAACCCCCGCAAGCACAATTAGGTGAGTACGTGAGTGATGCAAACGAGATGCAACCCATAGCAGCTGTCTAATGCCCAAGTACCTATTTACTGTTAGGTGAACAGGGCCATCTGACTATTTGTTCTGCCTCTGCCAGGAATTGAACCCGGGCCCCATAAAACTACTATCACTTAGCGCTATCCATTCGGCTATGAGGACTTAGACGTTGACTTATTTACCTGAGGGCCATCACCTCTCCCGTGGCCTCGCTGGGGTCAGGAAGCCGGCGGATTGTCAAAAGTCCCCTCATTTGTGCTTGTGTGTACTTACCTAATGATGCTTAAAAGAGTCTAACGCTGATTACCGAGTACAGCCTCACCATCTGCTGTTAGATATATAAACATCATTGTATTCTAATTACAGGAATATGGTGACAAACTGGTCGTTAGAGATTTGTTGTAATTATTATAAGGTATGGTAAAGTGTAATAGGTAACATAGTGACGTATTCCAGGAGTCAGATGTGTGCCTTGCTGCCTTACATGCAGGAGCCGTCAGTACCCGGGGAGGACCTGTCACCTTCACCAGAGATAATACTGCTCAGAACATCCGGGGCACCATACAACACCGTGTTGTTTCACAATCAATGCCGTAAGTTTACCTTGTGTGTACATGAACTGTGGCTCCACACAGCGATCATCTAGTATGATACTTACTCACCTTATAAGTGTGTTTAGTGTCATGAACACAAGTGTGTATCATGTGTCTGGATCACAAGTGTGTCTCATCCTAGGTTCACAAGTGTCAGCCAGGATGACAAGTATGGTGCAAGATCCACACACGTGTGTCTGGTGCCAGGTTCACACACGTGTTTCTGATGCCAGGTTCACACACGTGTTTCTGGTGCCAGGCTCACACGTGTTTCTGGTGCCAGGTTCACACACGTGTTTCTGGTGCCAGGCTCACACGTGTTTCTGGTGCCAGGTTCACACACGTGTTTCTGATGCCAGGTTCACACACGTGTTTCTGGTGCCAGGCTCACACGTGTTTCTGGTGCCAGGTTCACACACGTGTTTCTGATGCCAGGTTCACACACGTGTTTCTGGTGCCAGGCTCACACGTGTTTCTGGTGCCAGGTTCACACACGTGTTTCTGGTGCCAGGCTCACACGTGTTTCTGGTGCCAGGCTCACACGTGTTTCTGGTGCCAGGTTCACACACGTGTTTCTGGTGCCAGGCTCACACGTGTTTCTGGTGCCAGGTTCACACACGTGTTTCTGGTGCCAGGCTCACACGTGTTTCTGATGCCAGGTTCACACACGTGTTTCTGGTGCCAGGCTCACACGTGTTTCTGGTGCCAGGCTCACACGTGTTTCTGGTGCCAGGTTCACACACGTGTTTCTGGTGCCAGGCTCACACGTGTTTCTGGTGCCAGGTTCACACACGTGTTTCTGGTGCCAGGTTCACACACGTGTTTCTGGTGCCAGGTTCACACGTGTTTTTGGTGCCAGGTTCACACACGTGTTTCTGGTGCCAGGTTCACACGTGTTTCTGGTGCCAGGTTCACACGTTTCTGGTGCCAGGTTCACACACGTGTTTCTGGTGCCAGGTTCACACACGTGTTTCTGGTGCCAGGTTCACACACGTGTTTCTGGTGCCAGGTTCACACGTGTTTCTGGTGCCAGGTTCACACACGTGTTTCTGGTGCCAGGTTCACACACGTGTTTCTGGTGCCAGGTTCACACGTGTTTCTGGTGCCAGGTTCACACGTTTCTGGTGCCACGTTCACACGTGTGTCTGGTGCCAGGTTCACACACGTGTTTCTGATGCCAGGTCCACACACGTGTGTCTGGTGCCAGGTCCACACACGTGTGTCTGGTGCCAGGTCCACACACGTGTTTCTGATGCCAGGTCCACACACGTGTGTCTGGTGCCAGGTCCACACACGTGTGTCTGGTGCCAGGTCCACACACGTGTTTCTGATGCCAGGTCCACACACGTGTGTCTGGTGCCAGGTCCACACACGTGTGTCTGGTGCCAGGTCCACACACGTGTTTCTGATGCCAGGTCCACACACGTGTGTCTGGTGCTAGGTCCACACACGTGTTTCTGATGCCAGGTCCACACACGTGTTTCTGATGCCAGGTCCACACACGTGTGTCTGGTGCTAGGTCCACACACGTGTTTCTGATGCCAGGTCCACACACGTGTGTCTGGTGCCAGGGCCACACACGTGTGTCTGGTGCCAGGGCCACACACGTGTCTGGTGCCAGACCCACACACGTGTCGAGTGCCAAGATCAAGAGTATCTCTGGGTACTCTTGCATGTTTTGTGTGTGTGACACAATTTTTTACGATTTTTGTTATTTTCTTCTAACAATTTTTTTTGTGAAGAAAATTAAATATACAAAAGCCTTAATAGTAAAGAAAATACTATAAGAGAAGACAGGTCCTAGTTTATATCTTAGTAGACAGGTTCTAGTTTATACCTTTAAGTAGACAGATCCTAGTTTATACATTTAAAGTAGACCAGTCCTACTTTACATTTTGGGAGTTGACAAATCGTAGTTTGCACTTTTAGAGTAATCATGTCCTAGGTTACATGACAATAGTAGACGTCATGTTTTACATCATGTGAGTAGACGGCCTAGTTTATGCCTTGTGAGTACACTATTACTAGTTTATGCCTTGAGCAGCCCATCCTCCTGTTTAGATAGTACTTACTGTAACAATGTGTGGATCATCGTATATATATTGATGTAAAAGGCAATTAAAAGGTAGAATTTTGTATTATTAAATTTGGACAAACCGGAAAATGTTTTATATTTATGTTACTAATAAAACCTAACTTAACTATCCTAGGCCTAATACACAATAGCTGAGGCCTATATAGTACATATATTAATGTACATATATTTCTTAATCATCAACGGACAGAGTCAGCCAAAAGTGCGAGGGAATAAGTGGTTCAACACAGGACAAAGAAGGTAACCAGATTAGAACTAGTAATTGATGGAACTAAGGTAGTAGGTTGGAAAAGCTTACTCCAGGTGACAATTTTCTCCGTGTAGACCAGCGTAGTCTAGGCCTAGGAATATTTAAGTTTCGTTTTCAGCTTTATTGTTTCCGAACTCTATAAAATGAGTAGTGTCAAATTTTACAAATTGTTCATTACGTCAGAGCATGTACATTGGTACGTTGAGCAGGTTTTAGTTTGCACCTTGAGAGTAAACAAGTCCTAGTTTACACCTTGGGAGTAAACAGGTTTTAGTTTACACCTTGAGAGTACATGTACTATGTTGACCAAGCCACACACCAGAAGTTGAAGAAACCACGACGTTTCGGTCCGTTGTGGACCATTATCAAGTCGTATATCAGTACATGTACTAGCTTATACCTTGAGAGTACAGGTCCTGGTTTACAACTTAATAGTAGACAGGTCCTGGTTTACAACTTAATAGTAGACAGGTCCTGGTTTACGCTGTCAGTATAGAGGTCCTAGTTTCAAATTAGGTGGTAGGTTACAGATTACACCTTAAGAGTACACAGATTCTAGATTACATCTTGCAGACTAGGTCTTAGTTTACACTTTGTGAGTAGACAAGCCCTAGTTTACACCTAGAGGCTACTGGTCCCAGTTTAAGCGTTGAGAATAGTCTGGTCCTACATCTTGTCAATGAAAGTTATTAGTAAAGACGGGAAAATAAAGCTGTCAGAATAGTATTATAAAATAACAGTGAAAGTAATACTCTGCTTCACGTCTGACGTGTTACATAGTGATCTTAATATATATTATTATTATTACAGGCGAGAGAACTCTGGTGGGAACATTACTTACAAGTTCGACACGATTATCCCCAACATTACGCTGCAAGGTAAGACTCATCACTCCTATTTTGTAATGCTCTCTGTTGGTTTCCGCATATGGGGTATATCTTACGTTGCAATACCTTATCTGTATGTATGTATATATATATATATATATATATATATATATATGTCGTACCTAGTAGCCAGAACGCACTTATCAGCCTACTATTCAAGGCCCGATTTGCCTAATAAGCCAAGTTTTCATGAATTAATTGTTTTTCGAGTACCTAACCTACCTAACCTAACCTAACCTAACCTAACTTTTCCGGCTACCTAACCTAACCTAACCTATAAAGATAGGTTAGGTTAGGTAGGGTTGGTTAGGTTCGATCATATATCTACGTTAATTTTAACTCCAATAAAAAAAAATTGACCTCATACATAATGAAATGGGTAGCTTTATCATTTCATAAGAAAAAAATTAGAGAAAATAAAGCTACCCATTTCATTATGTATGAGGTCAATTTTTTTTTATTGGAGTTAAAATTAACGTAGATATATGATCGAACCTAACCAACCCTACCTAACCTAACCTATCTTCATAGGTTAGGTTAGGTTAGGTAGCGGAAAAAATTAGGTTAGGTAGGTTAGGTTGTCGAAAAAACATTAATTCATGAAAACTTGGCTTATTAGGCAAATCGGGCCTTGCATAGTAGGCTGATAAGTGCGTTCTGGCTACTAGGTACGACATATATATATATATATATATATATATATATATATATATATATATATATATATATATGTCGTACCTAATAGCCAGAACGCACTTCTCAGCCTACTATTCAAGGCCCGATTTGCCTAATAAGCCAAGTTTTCATGAATTAATATTTTTTCGTCTACCTAACCTACCTAACCTAACCTAACCTAGCTTTTTTTGGCTACCTAACCTAACCTTACCTATAAATATAGGTTAGGTTAGGTTAGGTAGGGTTGGTTAGGTTCGGTCATATATCTACGTTAATTTTAACTCCAATAAAAAAAAATTGACCTCATACATAGAGAAAAGTGTTGCTTTATCATTTCATAAGAAAAAATTATAGTAAATATATTAATTCAGGAAAACTTGGCTTATTAGGCAAATCGGACCTTGAATAGTAGGCTGAGAAGTGAGTTCTGGCTACTAGGTACGACATATATATATATATATATATATATATATATATATATATATATATATATATATATGTCGTACCTAGTAGCCAGAACGCACTTCTCTGCCTACTATGCAAGGCCCGATTTGCCTAATAAGCCAAGTTTTCCTGAATTAATAAATTTTCTCTTAATTTTTTTCTTATGAAATGATAAAGCTACCCATTTCATTATGTATGAGGTCAATTTTTTTTAATTGGAATTAAAATTAACGTAGATATATGACCGAACCTATCCAACCCTACCTAACCTAACCTAACCTATCTTTATAGGTTAGGTTAGGTTAGGTAGCCGAAAAAGTTAGGTTAGGTTAGGTAGGTTAGGTAGTCGAAAAACAATTATTTCATGAAAACTTGGCTTATTAGGCAAATCGGGCCTTGTATAGTAGGCTGAGAAGTGCGTTCTGGCTACTAGGTACGACATATATATATATATATATATATATATATATATATATATATATATATATATATATATATATATATATATATATATATATATATATATATATATATATATATATATATATATATATATATATATATATATATATATTATTAAATATGACCGAAAAAGTAAGATTAATAATTCTAACACGATTTTTCTCGATCTTTCGTACATTTCTTTTCA